TTATGTGATTTGTGGCTGCTCATCAGTTCCGCATCTTGTCCTGGAACTGTCATGCTTGAATAGAGTTTTAAATTTGGTCGAGGAGACACATATAACTTTCTATACTCACTGTAACTTTTATTGGCAGTTTATAGAGTAATTTATTTAAATTATTTTCTTTTTCTATTTTTTTTTTCAAGCCGTACTTTGTCTTTTAGAATATATCCTTCAGGTTATAAGTAGTATGCAGTTCACTTGCTGTGTTCTCACATGACAACATAGTCAACTTTTATTTTAAATTAAATCAAAAGGCATATCAGCATTTTATTACCAAAAGCATGCTAAGTATTAAGTAGAGTTTAAGAGCCTAGTGCTCTCACACTCTTTCTCTTTCCTTCCTAAAAGGGAAAAAAATTCATAAGAAGTTGCTTCTCTGTTGTGAGCTGCTTTCCCTCATGAAAGGAACACTTGTTCTAACAGCTAGTCACATCAGTTAAGGGCATTCTTATGCCCCTCATACCACTGATTTGTAGCCAAAGTGTTCACTACTTTGTATTGTAATAAAAGTTCCTTTTTGTTTTGAAGTTTGCTTGGCCCCTCTTTTCTTGGAGAGGTAAGTGTTAGGTTATATTCTTTGTACATTTGAATAGTGGGTTTTGCATGAAGAGTAGAATACTGCTTTTTCTCCATAATAGCTTCCTTGCTGAACCTGCTTTCTGTTTTCCTAATTTTCAGTCCAAATCTCATGCATTTTTCTCCACCCCTTTATCTTCCTAAGTCTACTTTTGTCTGCTGTTTCCCTTCATATGTCCCTCATTGAAAGTATATTATGGTCAGATTTATTCTGATTTTGTCTCATCCAGTATCAGTTAAAGAGGGTGTTATAACACCTTCGTATTCAATTGCTCTAATTCTTTTTGCCTGTTCTTTATTGCATGTTGCCTGATCCAGTAATCTGCAAGTTCCCTTTGGTGAGAGAAACCTACTATTCAAATGCACAGTAGGTGGGACCTATGACCTAAGGGAAAGGTTTAAACCTTCAGCTACTACCCATATGGAATGCCTGAGTCCTTGCTCTCCTCGCCTTAGCTTTTCTAACTTCCAGTTCCAGAATGTTCGTGGTATTCTATTAGAATTTCTAACAAGTAACAAGAGAATGTGTATAACAGATAGTATTTTAGCTACCTATGCTGAAAGATTGTCTAGGTTTTAAGTGGTATTTGTTTTCACTTAAGCCTCCTGCCACTGGTTAAAATTATAGAGATTTAGAATGGAGCCTAAAACTCATTAGTGACTGTTTTAGTCAGTTAGGGCTGCTATTACAAAGTACTATAGACTGGGTGGCTTATCAACAGCAGGTATTTCTCTCGGTTCTGGAGGATATATGCCTGAGGTCAGCAGGCTAGTATGGTCAGGTTGTGGTAAGGACCCTCTCCCGGGTTACAGACTGCTTACTTCTTGTATCATCACCTGGTAGAAAGAAAACAAGCAAGTTCTCTGACCTCCTTTTAAAAGGGCAGTAATCCTATTAATGAGGGCTTTACCCTCAGGAACTAGTAACTTTTGAAAGTTGCTACCTCCAGATACCATCACATTGGGGATCAAATTTCAACACAAGAATTTGGGGGGTGGGGACCATAAACATTCAGTCTGTAACAGTGACCTATGTTGTATATCATGAGATAGCATTTTATATGATTATGTGTTAAAGCTTGTTTAGCTTGTACTATTAAAACTGCTTTTCTATATTTGCTCACATTTAGGTTTCCATTTTAAATTTCTGAAAGTTTTATTTCTTAAAATTTCTAAAGCGCTATAAATACTGCTTAAATTTTAAAAATAAAGTCTAGGTCAGTACGTTCTACATTTTCTGCTACATATTTTTTCAGTGCTGTTGAACTGTTTTAGTAAGAGTTGTAGTTGTCTGATAATATTTTATATTAGAGGTTTATATAAGAATGATCTTTGAAAAATTATTTTAATTATTTAGTAGAGTACCATACTAGATTGGCTTTATTATCAGAGTCACGGCAGATAATCTGAGCAGAAGTGAAAAAAGCCACTAAATAGCCAAGGTAAAAGTTATGTGCTGAAAGTTTTCTATTTAATTTAAATGTGAGAGGCTTATTTATTTACTTTAGAGACAGGGTCTTGCTATGTTGCCCAGACTAGTTTCAAACTCCTGGGCCCAAGCAATCCACCTGCCTTGGCCTCCCAAAGTGCTGGGATTACAGGTGTGATCCCCCACATCCAGCTGAGTTTTTAAGTGAGATTCTATTAGTACTTACTCTCTATTTTCTAAGAAATATATTTTTCCCATTTCAAAAACAGTACGTATCTACAATGTAAAAAAATATAGTAAATTGATTAGTAAAATTGATAAGTACAATTACCTCTCTCTTCTTTAGAAAAACAAAGCACCTCCATATTCGTTCCTTAGTTTTGGGCCATTCCTCTATTTCCCTTTGTAGCCAAATTTGTTCATATGTTGTCTACATAAACTCTACATTTTCACTTTCTCATTCACTACTTAGTATCATACCATCTTTTAGTTCCTTTTATTAAGAGGTAATGCATTATATTTCCATCATTCAAAGACAATCAGTATGTAATTTTTTTTGTATTTCTTTCTAATTGTTTCTGTTTATATTTTCCCCTCATGCTTGTTATGTATTGTATGTGTAATTTTATATCATGTTTCTTTTGCTTAACTTATCATAAAGCATTTTTCTCTAATTGTATTTTTGTGGCCGTTATTAACTTGCTGTGTTCTAATGACTTATATCTGTATCTGTCTTCCAAGCCCATATTAGAAAGGCATGCATAGTGCAGCAGTTGCAAGCAGGCAGTCATTTTCTGAGATAGACATACCACCTAATTGCAAAGGAAAAGACTGAAAATTGAGACTAGAATACAAAATGTAATAGCTGAGAACCATACCATATGGAATCAAACTATATTTGCAGCACTGACTGTTAAACTGTGGAACTGTACTTCTAGATTTTACTTGGAATCTGTGATTACAGACCTTAGATGGCTGCTTTATATTTCCTGGCAGTGTTTGTATGCTATACTTCTCAGAAAACTTTTTTAACATAAATCCTTTCTCTCCAAACCTTAAGCATCCCTGTCTCAGCTTCACCCTAAGCTCCTGAAACCAGAGTCCATCACCCTCATCTGTATGCTATGAAACTACAACTCTAGTGAAATGTGCAGGTCCTCTTTATATTTAACTTTGTAAAATACATTTTATCACCTGTTCCATTTCAGTTGGATTATTCCTGTTACCACACACACTTTTTTTTAAGATGTCCCATTTAAAGTAACAACAAATAACAAATTCATAGCCCTACCTCTCTCACCCTTAAAAAACAAAAGCACCTCCATATCCATTCCTTAGTTTTGGGTCATTCCTCTATTTCCCTTTGTAGCCAAATTTGTTCATATGTTGTCTACATAAACTTTACTTTTTCACTTTCTCATTAACTACTTAGTGTTATACCATCTTTTAGTCCCTTTTATTAATCCCTGTGGATTTGGATACCACAATTATATAATCACCTCAAATTATCTCTGACCTCCAGATTCTAATATGCAGTTCCCCGCTTGACATTTTTACTTGATGTCTCATGGGTACTTATAACTCAGCATTTTTAAGTTATTGATTTCTTCCTGATCTCTTCCATATCAGAAAAGGTATCATTATCTTCAAATCAGAAATGTAGGTATTATTTATTGCTTACTTTTTTTCATTCTCTTCCTTTGTTTATCAGCAAGACCTGTTGATTCACTCCCCATGTCTCCCTCTAATTCACGGAACAACAAATGTGATCTTAAAGTGTGAATTGAAGTATTTATCTACCTTGCTTTGAGACCATTATTTAGCATAAAATCTAAAGTCCATACTATGACCCGTTAGGCTTTGCGTGATCTGTTCCCTTCTTATCTCTTCCGCCCCTTCTATGCTTCTCCATGAAGCTCTTGCCTCATTGGCTTTTATTTACTGTAATATCCTGTGTTCTTTCATGCCTCTATGCTTTTAGACTTAGTGTTCTCTGCCTGGAATACTCTTCCTCTATTTTCTCATTCTTTAGGTTGCTGGTTAAATTTCTCAGGGAAGTTTATCTCACCTGATATCTAAGGCGGTCTCTCACATTTCACCACTTGTTTCATTCTTTTTTGTGGCATTGCAATTTATTTTTCATTGTTTAATTGGTTAAATTTGATCACAACTGGAGTAAAACCATATCCCAACTGGAATAAAACCATATCGCAACTGGAGTAAAACCATCAAAAAGGCAAGGGCTGTGGCTTTAATTGGGTGTGATTATATCTCCTCTGCCTATCAGAGTATCTGAATATAGAAGGTTCTCCTTAAGTGACTGATAAATGAATGAATGGGTAGACGAGTAACAGACTAGAAGTGACCCTAAAAATATTGAGCATCCTTAGATTCTAACTTTGAACAATAATTCTCACTAATAAAGATGACTCTGAGTTATTCCATAAGATATAATAAATCTAAGCTGTTTTAGAAAAGTGAGCTTACAAAATAAGATTTAACAAACATGAGTATATTTAAAAAGAAAATGTTTCTTAGAAAATGTGTCTTAAAATATTTCTTTATTATAATAGGGCTCTAAATAAAACCCATTTTTTTCTATACTGAGAATTCTTTCACTAATTATTATTTCTCAAAGCTGAACAACTAATTTTAGTCTTTATACATGAGTTTCTGGATCATGTTCTTTTAAATGAGTTATTGCTCATAACTGTTCTTCTAAATGTTATGGGCTCATACTCATTATTTGTGGATTTTGTTTTGTGATTTGCCTGCTAGCTAGCATTTGTTTGTAATTCCAAGATCAGTGCTTTTGTTGCTTTTGTGGCAATTCATGGACATAGACAGTGACAAAAAATTTGAGTGGCCCTATATATATGTTCCCGGTTGAGGTCCAACAAGGCAACAGTCTGCCTTATTGTTTCAGCTGTCATATTGTAAACAAATCTCTTTTTTATGATCTGTTTAGGGCCACTTTTTTTTTTTTTTTTTTTAATTTTGTTTTCCATTTGTGATCTTGCTGTTTAAAAAGGCCCCCAAGCATAGTGCTGAAGGTACTGTTTAGTATTCCTAAGCACAAGAAGGCTGCCTTATGGAAAAAAATTGCTAGAATGATGCATAGAACTCAAAAAAATGCTGTACTTATGACTACTGGTATTAGTTAAGCTTTGCTCAGGCATGAGTTATGCTGTTGGCTGTGAATTTAATGTTAGTGAGTCAGTGATATATATTAAATAAGATACCTTTAAGCAGAAACATACATAAAAGAAGCTTGGGTATTGATCAGTTGATGAAAATGTTATGACCCAAGGCTCACAGGAACCTAACCCTGTATTTCCCCTAGGAGCAATGGTTCAGTGTTCGCGGTGACTTTATAAAACAAAACTATGGTGAATAACGAGAATCAATTCTTGTAAGTTAAAATTCTGGACTTCAATAGAAATTCAGGAAGTGCCTCCTTACCTGTTTATTGTAATTTAGGGACTTTTTGGTTGGGATGTATATATTTTTTAATCTTAAAGTCATTAAACTAAGCAAACAACTGAATTCATTTTGGGAAGTCATCCTTTTAGAACATTTACTATATGGCAGTAACTGTACTAGCTTTGAAGTATACAAACAGCAAGAAAGCCGTAAACTCTTTTGGATCTTTCACTTAGGGAAACATTCCGTTTTAATCTACCTTATCTGACACCAACTGGGTATACTGCATTTGTATTCTGACAGTAATTATCTGGAATTAGTACAGACCCCACAGGTTAAAGGCAAATTTCTCCGTAAGACTGCCCCTGCTTCAGATGCCATCTTCAAGTTTTTAGGGTACTCAGGCCAGCTGCACTTCTGACTTATTAATAAGCTACAAATTTGAGGATTCTTATGATCCCCTCAGGTCCAGTAATCCACTAGAATGATTCATAGAACTTCAGAAACTGCTTTATTTATTATTACAGTTTTATTTAAAGGAAGCACATAGGGTAAAATTTGGGAAAGAGCACAGAGTTTCCATGTCCTTTCCCTCTGGAGTCTGAGGATGTCATCCTCTGGGCAGGGTACATCAATGCATTAACTAACAGGAAGTTCCTCTGAGCTTTGATATCCAGAGTTTTTCTGGAGTTTCATTATATAAGTATGATTTTAATTCACTGATACAAAATTGATTTCAGTGATCCACCTCAATTTCCAGGCGCCTCCCACCCCTGGAGGTCAAGTTCCTGAAAGTCCTAACCCTCTAATTGTGTACTTGGTGTTTCTGGTAAACAGCTCCATCCTGCAGCTATCTGGGGCCCACCTTGACCTACCTCATTAGCATAACAAATATATTTCTACTACTCTTGTTTTTATGTTTAAAACTCTGTGCCAAGAACTGGGGATAAAAAGCAGATGTATTTTTTATTATACCACAAGGAGACTGTTTTGTAAACACTAAGAGAGAAATTAATAGTTTGCCAAGTAGAGGCATAGGTGTTTATAAGGAGAGAAGAATATATGCAAAAGGCACAAAGGGTTGAAAGAATTTGTGAGGAAGAAAATGTCACTTAGTCAAGCCAGAAAGTATCACCTTCAAATGGGAATGTTTGTAGGTGAATCTGGAAGAGTAGGCAGTGGTCAGTCAGATCATGAAAGACTATAGAAGCAAGAGATAGTGCATGACCCCCATACACATGTGGGACTTGTACTATGTGTTTTAATAGAAATTTTCAAGCATACAAGGAGTAGATAGCATGATGAATTCCTATATACTCATCACAATTAATAGCTGGTGGCCAAACTTGTTTTATCTGTTCTTCCCCCAGCATAGGTATTTCAGTGTTTATATCAAAAAAATGAGATTTTTAAAAATTACCACATCCCATTATCATACCTAAAAATTTTTATTAATAATTTTTATTATCAAATATTCTGTCAGTACCCAAATTGCCAGTTCTACAGTTGTTGGGTTTTTGTTTTGTTTTGTTTTTTTGAGATAGGGTCTTTGTTGCCCAGAGTGGAGTGCAGCGGCATAATGACAGCTCATTACAGCCGTGACCTCCCAGGCTCAAGCAGTCCTCCCACCCCACCCTCTTTCCCCCACCACAGGTGCTTGCCACCACACCTGGCTAATGTTTTTTTTTTTTTTTTTTGAGACGGAGTCTCACTCTCTCACCAGGCTGGAGTACAGTGGCACAATTTTGGCTTACTGCAACCCCTGCCTCCCAGGTTCAAGAAATTCCCCTGCCTCAGCCTCCTAAGTAGCTGGGACTACATGCACATGCCACCATGTCTGGCTAATTTTTTGTATTTTAATAGAGACGGGGTTTTACTATGTTGGCCAGAATAGTCTCAATCTCCTGACCTTGTGATCCCCCTTTCTTGGCCTCCCAAAATACTAGGATTACAGGCGTAAGCCACCATGCCCGGCCCTAATTTTAAATGTTTTTGTAGAGATAGAGTCTCATTGCATTGCTCAGGTTGGTCTCAAACTCCTGGCTTCAGACAGTCCTGTAGTCTTCTAAAGTTCTGGGATTACTAGTATGATTCACCATGCCTGGCCTGCAGTATTTTTAAAACAGCAAATCAAAGAGACTGTGTGCCATGGCTCATGCTTGTAATCCCAGCATTTTGGAGGGCTGAGTAGGGAGGATCCTTTGAAGCCAGGAGTTCGAGACTAGCCTGGGCAACCAAGTGAGCCCGTTTCTATTCTAAAAAACAAACAAGCAAACAACAAAAAAACAAATGAACAGCAATTGGGCAATTTTAAATTTAAAAAAATCTAGATTTTTGTAATTGAAGAATTGGAAGATCTAGCACACTAGATCTGCATTTCTTCCTTTATAACAATAGGGCCTTTGTCAAAGTTTTTGCCTAGCTGCCTTTTTCATTGCTTTACCCTGTGAGGAGCCTTGGAAATGATTTAAACAGGCATGGGTCTTGATAAGATTTCTATAATGGAAAAATAAGTAAAGATGGTCCACCTTTCTGTAAGGTATAAAAACAAAAACAGAAAAACAATGACTAGCGGTAAGCTCAGATGCATTTGATGAGTAATGTGTCCACAGGAAGGCAGGGAGGGGACCGGTGAGAGAATTTGCAGTAGTCAGATGCAATAGTCAGATGTTCAGAGGAAGATACACTGAACTAAGATCTGAACTAAGGTCTCTGCAATATGGCAGAGTTTAGAATTGTAAGAGTTGAGGGACAGAATTAATAACATGTGGAGAGGGCACATTGAAAATAAGATATTTAAGTGACTGGTAGATAGTTGGGACGACTGACAAAACGTGAAATTCAGGATGAGCCACTTGGTGCTTGGGAGGGAGTAAATGATTTGTTTGGATCTTGAGTATTTCTTCACTTCAGATTACAGTATTTTTACTGTGGTAGAGAGGAACACAACCAGTTGTTGCTGGATCCTTACCTGAGGAAGGTTAGATGTAGCTAAGAGTGTTTTGTAATACAATGATTTTTCTCTAATTCTTCTACACATAAAGTTTGAGAATTCTGAAACTAAATTAAAAAGGGAAAAGAAAGAGTACCTGTAATGTGAAAATTCATTCAAATAAGTCTCTTTTTAAGATAACTCTCAATTCCTTCAACTGAGGGGTTAGTAGAGAATTAATGTGCTCCTGCCCACTTGGCTGCAGACTTCATTTACTTTTAATAATAAGCCTGTATAATCTTAATATGTATTAATACATTGCCACTTGTAAGAAATATACATACAAATGGCATTGCAGGACATCTAATGGCATCTAATAAGGGCCTGGTAAATGTTTGCTAGATTTTTATCTAGGTCTTTTTAAAATTTAAGAGATAGTATTTGTTTTGGATTACAGTTCTGACCTGATATTTCTTGACAGTGCCTTCACAAATATGAAATTTAATAAATATTTATAGGATAAAGAATAATTCTGATGATTTTAAGCACTTTATTTAAAAGGATTCTTTTTTTGCTTAGTTTAAGGTGGTATCAACATCCTACAGAAGAAGAATTAAGAATTCTTGCAGGGAAACAGCAAAAAGGGAAAAGCAAAAAAGATAGGTAAGTTATATTGTTGAGCTTATAAAGTGTTAAATATTTAACACAATTTATATAAATATAGTTTTATGCTTTGATTAAAGAAACATGTACCAATTATGTTTTAAGCAGTTGATAAATTTGAGATCAAAACCCATGAAAATCTAATATGTAGTAATATATACACACAAAATAGTGATTATTTTACTCAACAATGGTTAACTTTATTCTTTTTTTAAATCATGAAAACAATATAGCCGTCATACTAAAGAAAATTTAGTTGGGGGTTGATTGAGGAGAGAGTTATAACCCGCATCTTTATCCTACAACTCATTAAAGATATCAGTTGGTTTGGGCTATTTTCCAGATTTTGCTGCTACTGTGTGTTGTGGTATTGGGCAAATTAACCTGCTTTTGGCCTTAATTTCCTCATTTTAAAATTAAAAGGGATGGATAATATAACTCTGTAGGTCTCATCAGCCCTTGAATATTCTGTTCATGTTTAAAGTTTATGAAGAGAACTGTCTACTAATAAACCTCACAAAACAGACCATAGTAGCCTCATCTGTGAAATTGAAAGAGTAAATAGAACAATAGTCATTTTGAAGAATACTCCCCGCTTTAAAATTTCATCTCTGTTTAAATAGAGTTTTTAGGGGAAATGCGTGATTACCTCTCTGAATGGACTTTGTTTTTACAACTGGGGATCCAAGAGGACTTCTTAGGGCCCCTGTGACTCTGAAATCATGACTGATTGACGCAAATTGTAACCATACTTCTCATATATATCTTAAAAATGTTAAACTAACCTAATAAATTTATATAAGCTAAAAAATATTTCGACATTAATGATTATTTGGCCTAAAATTGGAAATTTGAAAAGACTGTCTTTTTTGATCTTGCTATCATCCTTATTCACTTATCATTCCAAATATACCTGGAAGCTCATTGGAATATTAACAGTAAACCTTACTTCTTTTTATTCCAGTAGTTAAGTTCTTCAGTAAAATAGCACAGTTCTACTTAATCCACAAAACAACCGTGAAAGTTAGCTAATGATGAATGAGAAGCTATTGATCAGAGACGTTAAATTAGTTGCCCAAGTTCACTTAACTAGTAAGGTTATGTACTAGTAACCAGGATTTGAATCCAGGTTAATTTTTTGTTTCCGTTTCTTTTTAGCTGTTTCACTTCCACCTATTAATAGCTACCACTTTCGACATTTGTAAAATATAGTTATGTAGAGTCTTGCTCTGTCACTCAGGCAGAAGTGCAGTGGCACAATTCTGACTCACTGTGACCTCGATATCCTAGGCTCAAATGATCTTCCCACCTCAGCCTCCTGAGTAGCTGGGACCAGAGGCATGCAACATCATGCCCAGCTAGTTTTTTTAAAAATTTGTAGAGACAGGGTCTCCCTGTGTTGTCCAGGCTGGTCTCCCCTGGGATTACGTAATCCTCCCGCCTCAATCTTCCTGGCCTCTCAAAGTGTTGGAATTATAGGTGTGACCCACTGCATCTGGCCTGAATCCTTATTATAATGCCTTGTAATGAATAATTCTGTTTTACAATAATTTTTTTCCATTGAACATGCCTTATAGTTACAGAAAGGTACATTAACATTGCTGCCTTGTTCCTATTAACAAGATTTATTGTTTGGTTTATTGACATGAATTTATTTTTACTAAGGCTTCCCATTTTATTCACGGATAAATGCAAAGTTGTTTCTCAATATTGAAGTTAATGTTATTAAAACTTAGTTGAAGCTGGGCATGGGGGTGTGTACCTGTAGTCCCAGCTACTCAGAGGCTGAGGCAGGCAAATTGTTTGAGCCCTGGAATTTCAGCCCAGCCTGGGCAACTGTGTGTCTAAAAAAATACATAAAATAATAAATTGAAATCTTAGTTTATTACTTTCTATATGTTTGTCTTTAAAAATTAAATTTGGGAATCATACAAATGTACCTGAAGAATTTGTTTTCCTTCATCTGTAATTTTTAGTAAAAGCTATTCCAAGTTAGTCTTTCATGTTTCTGAATTTCTCATACACATAAATCTTAATATAATTCTTCAACTTTGACTTGCATATAGTTACAGGTCTGTTTGTATGTATGTATGTGTGTGTGTTTATACGTGTCACTTCAAGGAGAAGTGCACTTTGTCTTCATTTGCATTTATTCTTGTGCCTAAAAAGAAAAGAGAGTAGGAGAAATGGGTGTGAAATGCTAAGCTAGCAAAAAAAGGTTGGTTGCAGCCACTAATTTAGGTAATTATTTCCCTGCTAATCTGTATATTCACATGATAATATATATCCAAATTTTATAGTACCCTTTTAAAAACTACCTTTGAGTACCTTATCCCCTTATTGATGAAGTATTAGAAATTCTTCCTTTTCACTGTAAAATTTAAAATCTCATTTGTAATTAGTTTGAAACAAGCACTTGGATAACAGTGTAGGTAACTTGTTTTTTGTGTCACTTGTCTGATTTTTATAGGAAATATAATGGTCACATTGAAAGTAAGCCATTAACCATTCCAAAGGATATTGACCTTCATCTAGAAACAAAGTCAGTTACAGAAGTGGATACTTTAGGTAAGGGAAATCTTACTAAAATGTTCTATAAATCTCAGTTTTATATTATGGTAGTGAAAGTGCTTTCATTTTAATAAGTTCATTATACAGAATATGGAATCTTTCTAAGAACTTAGAAGCTCAAATGACTTCATTTGAATTAAATTTCTTTTTTTGTTCACCTAACTTGAATTATTTTTCCTGTTTTTGAAAGAGGCTTACACAAGTTTGTTAACAGTTTCTGTTTATTAGATTGAGATCACAGTCAATTCTTGTTATCTAGAGTTCTAGACTTCCTTTTACTAGTTATGCCAGTCTGCCCTTTTCTAATGTGGCTTGCAAAACTGAATTAGAAATGTCAGGCTGTGAGCAGCCCAGGGGTTGATGTGCCTATTCCTATGCAGTTGAAAATTCAGGTACAACTTTTGACTGTCCGTAAACCTAACTACTAACAGCCGACTGCTGACCAGAAGATTTACCAATAACATAAACAGCCAACACATACTTTGTATGTTATATGTATTATATACTGTATTATTACAATTAAAGTAAGCTAGAGAAAAAAATGTTATAAAGAAAATCATAAGAGAGAGAAAAGTTATTTTCTCTAAAGTGGAAGTGGATCATCATAAAAGTCTTCATCGTTGTGATCCTCACTTTGAGTAGGCTGAGGAAAAGAAGGTAGAGGAGGGGTTGGTCTTGCTGTCTGAGGGATGGTGGGGTGGAAGAAAATCTGCGTATAAGTAGACAAGCGTGGTTCAAACTGTTGTTCAAGGGTCAGCTGTATTTCTGTTGAATTACCTGTATTTCTGAATATAGGTAATTCAACAGAAATACAGCTGACCCTTGAACAACAGTTTAGGGTCACATATAGTAGAAAGGAAAGTGGTTTTAGAATAATGAACTGGATTAGAAATTAGAAAAGTTTACTTATTCAGGATTTACTTTTACCCATTATTTCTGAATAGGTCATTTAGTTTTTTTCCTATAAATTACAGAAATTTAGTATCTCAATTTCGGTAATTATATAATGACTACAGTGATTCTAGTTTAAAATGATATTTATATGAAATTATTTGAATCCTAGAAGGAAAAGGCATCTAAGGTGAAATAATTTAAAACACTGGTTTTTCAACTTTGGCATATATCAAAATCACTTAGTAGATTTTTTTGAAATAAAGATTTCCTACTCCCATCCTTGGAGATTTAGTGAATCTAGAGTGTGTTTTGGGAATTTGCATTTTTAAAAGTGCTCCAAGTGATTTTGATTTTTGACCCGGTTTGAGAACCACTGGTTTATGTGATAAAGGAAATAAAATGATACGTGTTTTTTAAAAATAATTTTGATAATATCATATAAGGTGTCATTATGTAATTTGACCCTTCTTGGGTTAAATCATACTGGTATCAAAAAATCTTAAGAGATCTAGCATCTCATATAGGATTATTTTATGATACACGGTGGTTTCAAAATATGTGAAAGTTTATCATTATATCTGTAAAGGTTGAATGTATGTATAAAGGATATCCTAGAACTAAAAAATGTCAGTGAAGAACAATATAAATCACTTATCTAATATCATTTAGACTCTTAAGACTGGTGATGTCATTCTGTTTTCTCTTTTTAACTATTTACATTCAACATTTAAAACATTTAAAGGCACATTGACTTTTTGATTAGTAGTTGTCACATTTGTTTCACTACTTCTATATGTGCTTACTTATATAAAATGTTCATAGACATGTATAAATACAAGAAAATATAAACATTCTTTCTGATTTTTAGTTGTTTTAACATCTTTACTAATAATGTTTATTGAATAATTTGTCAGCTAATTAACTTTAATAATATCTTAAAATTATTGAATATCAGACTTTGTTACAATATTTTACTTTTATTACCCCATTCTCACAATTATGAGGTGGCTAACTGTTATCAGTTTTTTTTAACTCATTAGGAAGAAGAGTTGAAAAACTTGGACAGGGTTACCACTGAATGTGGTACAGGCAGTCAGTGAGAACTAGGCTATTTTAATGAACTAAAAAAAAAATTGAAATTAGGGTATTATAGCGTTAGTGTGTAGTTTATGGAGTATTTTGTTTCACTTCTAGAATTTTGAGAACTAATTGCAAATGGTACTCATTTATCAACTGGTCATGTAATATCAAGAGCATTTCCAGTTAATCAGAATAGCAGGGAGATGTTCATATATGTTTACAAGTTTATGTAATCATTTGTGAATGCATGTTGTATATGTGTGTTTAGGTGAAAGTAAAGGGTTTTCTGTCTTCTTTTGACTTCAGTATTTTATTAAAAGGCATATATGTAATTGTATTACTGATTGCACAAAGCATATAACACTTGAGTTAAATAGCCCAGGAAATACATAATTTATACTTTCGTGGAATGTATATATTATTGGTGTCTCAATAATTATTGTGAAAATCTATCTTAATTTGTATTAGCTATTTATTATAAGAACCTTTTAAAGAACATTAGAACTTTTGAATGTCAGTTGGCTGTTTGCTATGAATGAGTTCCATGGAGGAAGCCTCTATGAGTATGGGCAGGTTTGGAGAATTAGAATGCTTATTTCAATTGTTGATAATAAAATTGAAAAACTTAAATGGATTTTGGTCTATCCTTCCCACCCACTTCTCTTATCTCCTTCCAGATAGAAAGCTCAGTATGGGTGATTTTTTTTTCTTAGCAGGGAGAGGGGATTGAGGGTAAGAATTCTGCAACCATATCGGGATGAATCTTTCAGGCTTATGTTCAGAAGCTGTATGTCAGTCGCAATTAGAAAACCTAAAGTAGGGCTGGGTGTGGTGGCTCATGTCTGTAATCCCTTCTCTTTTGGAGGCCAACATCGTAGGGTGACTTGAGCCCAGGAGTTTGAGACCAGCCTGGGCAATATAGTGAAACCACATCTGTACAAAAGATAAAAAAAATTAGCCAAGTGTGGTGGTGTGCATTTGTAGCCCAGCTACTAGAGAAGCTGAGGTGGGAAGATTAAGCCCCAGAAGCTGAGGCTGCAGTGAGCTATGATCATACCACTGCACTCTCAGAAAACCTGAAGCAGTTAACCTAAAGTTAAATTGAAGCAGATTAAGAGATTTAAAATAACTTGAAACAAATTTTAAAATCAATCATAAAAGAATTTTGGATTATTAAAATGTTACGATCATCTTATAGAAATGGTATAAATTTTGGTTAGTTTTGATACTGTGTTCAATAGGTCTTATTTTACATGATATTGTCAAAATACTTTTTCTATAAGGATATTGTATCTTCAAGTATAATTTTATTATATTTTATGACTAAAAATTGTCCAAAGCAATGCAGATCATTTTATTATGTGCCATGAGAACATCTGAATTGATGGTTATGTACGTGATTTACTTCCACATTTTTAGGAGGCCTTCTAAAAAATGATGTTGATGTTTTGGACTACACTCTGTAGAAGTCAACCAGAATGCCTATGCCTTATAAGAGGTTTAAAACAACTGAAATGCAAAGGATGATGGAATTACATTTGCTTTCAAATAATGTTACTTTCAGTGTAAACTCTTAAGAATGGAATAGTTTGTTGAAGGGGTATGGTTTTATGGAAAATCAACAGACATTTTATAAACTTTTCTTGTAGAACAAAAGAGGGTATAAAAAGTATATTGTTTATTATTTTATTATTATTATTTTTGAGATGGAGTTTCATTCTGTTGCTTAGGTTGGAGTGCAGTGGCATGATCTGAGCTCACTGCAACCTTTGCCTCCCATGTTTAAGCGATTCTCCTGCCTCAGCCTCCCTAATAGCTGGGGCTATGGGTGCCCTCCACAATGCCCAACTAATTTTTGTATTTTTAGTAGAGACAAGGTTTAACCATGTTGGCCAGGCTAGACTCGAACTTCTGACCTCAAGCGTTCCACCCACCTTGGCCTCCAAAAGGACTGGGATTATAGGCTTGAGACACTGCACCCTTCCTAGTTTATTATTTTAATCTGTAGTATTTCACAGAATTACTAGTTTACAATTAGTACGGCCAATATTTGTAACATAAACTTTAACTCTTACTTCACAAAAGTGAACAATGTAAGTAAAGTGGTTGTGTTCTATAAGTTGTTTTCTGAAGTTAAGGTATCATAGCTAGATATTTAAAAGAAAACACTTATAATTTCTGAAAAAAATGGCTATATCAGTTAATACCAATAAATTGCCATCATACTTTACCAACAACTTAAATAACTTTTGATAATCTTTTAAGGTTTATTTTAATTTGTGAGGTACTAAAATTTAGTTTTGGGTGCTGACATCCTCAGTCTATTACCTGCATTTTTAGATTCCTATATTTACAAATCTTACATTGCAAATGAATAAAGTCTAACATATTTTAATTTTAAATAAATCCTCATAAGTTATTTAAGAAAATTAAAGCGAAACATATTTTTAACCTTTTTTTTTTTTTTTTTTTTTTGCAGCGTTACATTACTTTCCAGAATACCAGTGGCTGGTGGATTTCTCAGTGGCTGCTACAGTTGTGTATATAGTAACAGAAGTCTACTATAATTTTATGAAGCCTACACAGGAAATGAATATCAGCTTAGTCTGGTGCCTGCTTGTTTTGTCTTTTGCAATGTATCCTTCAAAACATCATTAATATTAATTTATTTTGCAGATAACACCGTTAGATCTCATCCCTGATTTGAGAAAGATTTTATGTCATTAGATAACTTTTCTTTATTGAAATTTTTTTATATACTTGAAAATATTTTCAAAGTAATAGAGGTAAATCATTTAAAAAGCTAAATATAAGAAAAATGCTAGTGCTCTCCTTTTTCTTTCTTATCCAAGTCTAGCCACTTTCACCTTTTTTAGGCATTTCTTTTGGGAATTCCTTCTTTGTGTTTAAATATTATGTGGTAATGGTACTGTATATATATTATTTATATATTATTGCACCTTTCTTCCTCTTCCCTTTTCTTCCCTTCTCCCAAAATGCAGATAACATTTTGTGAAATTTCTAGTCAGTTTTATCATGTCATACCTATGAAAATATTTACAGCCAGGCTTTATACTGTATTATTACCTTCCTTAAATACTTTTTTATTTTTATAATTGTGGAAACTATGAACTCTTCCACAGAATTGGTAGAACCTCAATAGTTCAGATACTTCGTTTCTGTTTTTTCTTTCCACATGGAAATATCCTTCTGGAGCCCCTACTTTTCTACGCTTCCGGCATAGCTAATATCGTGGGACTTTCTTCACTGCCTTCCAAGAATTCCCTCTATCCCTTTCTGGATTTCATGATTTCCTCTTCCTTAGTTTACTCTCTGTTTTTTTGTTTGTTTGGTGTTTTTTTTTGTTTTGTTTTTTTGGCAGAGTACATTCTCCTATGGTGTCCTTAGAAAGGGTGCCGAATTGTCTTTTGAAATCTTGCTTGCCTGGAATTATCTCTGTTTTTTCTCTCATACTTGATAGATAGGTTGGCCCAATAGAAAATTCTAAGAAAGAAATAGGTTTTCCTCGGAATCTTGAAGTCTCTTGAGAAATTGGATGCCCTTTTGCTTTTTGTATATACCTATACCTCCCCTCTTGTGTACACCCTCTGGAAGGTTTTTCTTTTTATTCTTTTGGTTTTTGATTTTTCATCATTGATTGCGCTAAGTTTTAGGTTTACCCTTTCAATCTGAAAACTTGTATCTTTTACTACGAGGAGATATTATTATTTTCTCATTTTTATTAGAATTAAATATGTTCCCTACTCTTTTCTTCCTTTCCATCTCTTCAGAGACTTCTTCTAGCTTTTCTCTGTTGGACACTTACTTTAATATTTCCATGTACTTTCAAGGCCACTCCTTGATTTTAGTTTTAGGCTTTAACTATTGGCATTTTACTTTGGAAATAAGGATTAAGCCCAAGCATATCCTTGTTCAGCCAGTTAACCACTGGTCATTTTCCATTTATTTCATCTTCCACATGTAGTGATGTCATGTTTTTAGAACAATATTCCATGTTTATGTTATGATCATGTAAACACCATTCACAGATGAATACTTGCCTTAATTTTTCATTTGCATTTTTTATTTGTACATGTCGTTACTTCAACTTCAAACTCTTCTTTTTCATCCCCTGTGTTGGGACTTTACCAGTCTGTGAACCCATGTTCTTGAGTTCTAGAAAATTGTTTTGAATTTTTTTATTCATGTCTACAGCCATACCAACCTGGACACACCCAATCTCATCTGAATTAAAGTCAGATTTCTTCTGGACTTTCGAATTCAGCTTCCTTGTTCTGTTGAATCTGCTTTCTAGCTTCCAAAATTTTATTACTTTTTCTCTTACTTTATTTATGTCCTTAAAAGCAGATTCCTTTACCATCATTTTGGTGGAATTTAGGAAGAGATAAAAAGTAACTGATATGCTTAATCTGTGTTAAAAAAAATTTTTTTTAGAGATGGGGTCTTGCTCTGTTGCCCAGGCTGTAGTGCAGTGGTATGATCATAGTTCATAGCAGCCTCTAACTCCTGAGCTCAAGTGTTTCTCACATTCCAGACCCCTGAGTAGCTGGGAGTACAGACACACACCACCAAAACCAGCTAGATCTGGGAAGTATTAGCAACTGCAATACAGACTTTTAATCAGTCTTCCTATTTTATCCATTCCTCAACCCTGTGTATCAAAGTACCTCATGTCTCCAGTTCTTGACTTTTCCCAGGTTTCTGATGAATGAATTGACTTTCTTCTTACTGAGTTTCTCCCCTTGCAGATCAAGCACAGCAGAGAAAGCTGAAACCTAAATCAATTGGTTATTGATTGTCTATTCACTTACCATCTTTCAAAGTTTTGTTGATTTCTTATTTATTTATTTACTTACTGTTGTCTTTTTCTATTTTCTGTTCTTGAGGGTTTTGACTTTCTTATGTGGCTTACTTAGATTGTGACAATGAACAGAGGAAGTGCATGTCTTACATCTTAATATTTAACTGGAGACTACACCATCATCTTTTAAACCTGTTGAGTGGATACCATTTAAAATATATAATTTGACATTTCATCACCAGTGTAGTACCTTTCTTTCTGTTGCCTGTTTTGGATTGATTAGGTATAATTTAGACTAGAAGAGCCAGAACAAAGTCTTAAGAGTCAATATCTTCACAAAGTATGTAGTGTACTAGGTAGAAATACTAATCATGTGTGTCAGTTGAGAAACATCCTTAGATATCCAGTATTGCACTAACTCCAAGAGCAGATTTTAAATTCAAGCACATAAAATATTCCTGTTTAATTCTATAGTATTAAATATGTGAAAATACCATTCAGTCAGAATAAAGACCTATCCCTAGACATCGAGTCATATAAAACACGTTAAAAATATTTTACCATGATAGTTAGGACTAGCTGATTATATGTCATGTTACTTTTTTGATACTTCAATGAATTCTGATGATCTCCAAACTATTGCTTTTTTTCCTGTGCCCGGAAACAAGGTCTCACTCTGTTGCCCGAGCTGGAATGCAGTTGTGCAGTCCTAACTCACTGTAGCCTTGAGCACCTGGGCTCCTACCCCAGCCTCCAAAGTAGCTAGGACTACAGTTGTACCCAGCTAATTTTTAATTTTTGTACAGATAGGGTCTCTCCGTATTGTCCAGGTTGGTCTTAAACTCCTGGCCTCAAGCCATCTTCCTGCCTTGACCTCCCAAAACACTGGGGTTACAGGCATTAGCCACTGTGCCCTGCCACTATTGCTTATTATTGAATATTCTTCACTTTCTTCGTGGTTTACACATATGTGGGAATGCATATAGTTGATATGCAGTTTTATTTTATTGTGATTGAGCCCTTGATACATACCTACTAGAGAAGTTAGAAAAATATACTTGTTAATAGCTATTCATATTGTTTATGTGAGTAAATTTTGTCTTTAATCTTACTCTATAACGCCTAATAATGTGAGAGCAAAGGTCCCACACAGTCTTTAGCACTGAACTGACTGCTTCGTTTTAAGTAATGCATTTGTGAAAGGCATCAAACAGTAACATCTCTGCAGGAATCCTGTAGCTGGCTGTCTCCCTATCCCAGATGCACAGAAAGTGCTGAAGAGCTTACAGGCCAAGCTACTTTCTGCCAGCTTTGATTCTCCACAAAGAGGGTGGGGAAGAAGCCAGTAAAATTGTGTGTACGCTTGGGTATGTGATTTTTTTTTTTTTATTTAAACCTATAGCATGAGTTAAAGTTGCCTACCACCTTTAAATGCATATAGGAATCAGGAATTAAATTCCAGCTATCCAGATTAACACCAGAGAGAAAGATGTTTATAGCCTATCTTTTATCTTTAGTTATAGCATAACCTGTTTTTCCTTTCATACCAGATGGTTGGAATCTAGCAGAAGTAACCTCTGTCTATTAGGCAAACACATGTCTCCATTGATTACATAGGACAATAGCTTTGTTTAATTTCTTAGTCATATATATCTCAGTTAATTCAGAAATTCTCTGCAGTTGTTCATGATGAAATGTTTTTTGTTAAAGTGGTCCCCAAATTAAACACATAAAACTTTAAAAATCAGTTCACTTAAAAGGAAGCAATTTTTTTCTATTTCCATGGCCATTTTGTTTTATTTCTGCCATCACTTACATTTGACATACATAGGACAGCAAATTTTTTCAAGATTATACAGAATCTTGAAAGTTCAAAAAGCACAGGAATTACTTTTTAAAATTTACATCCCTAAAACCTTGAACCAAGTCTTCTCTTGTCGTCAGCTCTGCTTTCTGCTTCACCTGAGTTGTTCCTTCATTTCAGCTATTACACCTGCTTAGAATCTCACTTCTAAACCCAAACGAATTCTCAGCTCCACTCTTCTTTCCCATTTCTAATTCTAACTATTTTCTCTGACCAAGTCTGTGTGTTTCAATTCCGTTTATGCCAAGTTACATGATATGGGGAAGGAAAAAGATAAAGAAAGCCTTGCAATAAAGATGGAGTATTTCTAGTAAATGCCTTTCCTGTATGATGGCCCATGAAGTCTTAGTGTCACTGTAGAAATGTGTACTGATTTTATGAATATGAAGCATATCATTTTCATTTATGAAAAAATGAAAAGCGAAAAGGTAAAAATGTTGCTTGCAAAGCCAGAGGCCCTTTGGTGGAAGTAAAACTTTTAAAAATGAAAATATTCTACAATGCATAGATTTTTTTTTTTCCAAGAACCTCTCTTAGAAATAAGCTGTAGCACAGAGAGTAATACTGAGTCAATTATGTGAATTTGAGTGAGAAGAAAGCTATTCTACAAAGAGTGATAAAGCTTCTCAGTAGTCCTATTATATTTGGTTGAAGGCCTGGATCATTAGTCACATTTCCACAGTGCTTGTATTTTACAATGTGGAGGTTTAAGGTACAAAACCCTATTATGTATGTTTTCATGGCTATGTAAAAATTTTAATTTTCGTTCGTTGCCAGGCATACAAATTTTATTCAAAGCTGAAAGCTGTGACTAGTTGAAGTAAAAATAAATTTTAAAGTTTTCTGATTTAATATTCAGTTCTGTATGTAAATTTGTAAATTAAAGGTCTACAAATGTTGCATTTGTTTGCTGTGGCATATAGACAACCACAGCAAACTAGTACAACTAA